GCTAGAGATAAAAATACAAAAAACAGCCTTTGCAACGACTAATTTTCCTTATATAAATTTGTGAAGACCACAAAATATATTAATATGTGCACGTCCACTAGCAGTCTTGTGGCTCTGCCATGAGAATTCTAAAACTGATAAAGATTATTTGTAGATTTCTCTTGGCTACTTCTTCCTGATCTTTAAGCCATCATGTGGAAAATGCTAAGAAAAATTTCATTTATAAACTCAAAAAATTACTTATTATATGAAAAGTAAGTGTGCTCTACGGAGTATGTTCCCTCTCTAACAAAGCATGGTTAAATTTATAGGAACAGTCTATCCAATATGCACTCACAAAATAAACTTAATGTTCCTTCGCCCCTGCATCTCCTGAATTAATCAAATGGTAGTCCGAAAGCACTTCCTGGTCTTTCTTTAAATCCAAAAAAAAAAAAAGTAGTCATCCTGTAACAGCACTAGCAAAACCAAACTCCTGAGATCCATGAGGTCATCTATAATTAGAAAACTGAAATGCAACAGGAACCATTATGATACAATCTTAACCAACTGAACATTAAGAGAAGAAAAATCATTCTGTGCATACCATGAGCCCAAGAGAACTTCTAGACCTCAACATCTTGTTAAACTAATAAGTTCCAGTCAGCATAAAAAAAATCTTTCTATGCTATGTGCAGTTTTTCAGTTAGTGAACTAACCAGGGCTGCGGGTATAGCATTTGTAGGATTCCTCTTTGGCAGGTTATTTAGTGTCTCGTTACCGATTCTGATATGTGTTCAAAGTAAATGATTCACCATCACTGATTTCCACTGTCAGCCCTGTGAGTCGCTGGGCGCTGACTGGAATGGAAATGGAGATGGAGATGTGAAAATGGTCTGAGAGAATGACAGTTTCTTCTGAAGGGTAGGTGGAGATTCGGTGACCCCTGGGCACACCGGTCCATTCTGGTGAATCACTGCTTTGGGAAGGTTAAAGACCCTGTGGCTCATAAAACTTGATGATATTTAGAAGAGGGAAAGAAGTCACACTTAGATGTCAGGGTCACTGCTAGAAAGAAATACAACTTTAAAAATTCAAGTGCAAGAAAAAATACCATATTTAAAAATGAATTAGTAATGTTTTTTTCCTTTTGAAAGTATTGGGGAAAACCCATATATACAGATGTTCATTACTTATTCAGTGTACACCACTGGGAGATAAATAGAACTGTTAGAATACAAAAATGCCAAGGGTAATTCAACTACTGCAGTCTAAGTGTGGCATAACTGATTCGTCATGACACATAATTTTCTAAAAGCTATTCTGTTAGAAGGCAATAAATGAGTACATAAATGATTTACAGTCTCCTGAACCATCGTTATTATTCAGTATTTTATTTTTAAAAATATATACACCCTATACTATTATGTTTATTCTCCAAAGTATAATAAAAACATAATTGAATTTGATGAAAAATAGACTTGATTCTAAATGTAGCACACAGCACATGCAGCTACTCCCTTATTTTATCCCTTGTGAAGATCAACGTCACTTGAAGTGGTTCTGCTCCAGGTTTGTTTTAATATATGGGCAATAAAATATTTTTAATTTCAAAATTATAACCTTATGTTCCCTACTATATTTTCTTTTTAATACTAACATCTGAGTTTCAGCCTAAATAACAATTTATGAATGCAAAATACAGTATTTTAATCACTGTGTTACTTTTAAATATGATTTCTTACTGACCAGGTAAGGGAAGGAAATTAAGTACAGATGGTTCAGCAAATAAAAATAAAGTTATCCATTATCAATAACAAAAATGCCAGAGTCCAGTGACATGCTTTGTTTTGATGGCACCTAAATGCCACTGTGAAAGGATAAATGTATCATTTAAAAAATATTTCTATTTTAAAAATATAACCACCTCTGGAATTTAGAAAAATGACATTAATCTGCATTATTGCACACTGTTTGCATTTGTAAGTTTCTTTGGGTTAGAAACTGTGTCATGCTCTCTCTCTCTCTCTCTCTCTCTATATATATGTATATATATAAAACATAAAAATATATAAGCAAATAATTATATAAGGTTTAATCTAGATATTTCATATTTATATGTAAAATAAAATGATATGCACTTAACAGCATATTAAGTCTATATATATATATATATCACCTTTAATAAAAAAATATACATAAGGGGTCCTGAGAAAGTTCAGAGAAATACACACTATCTTTTTTTAAATGATTAATTAATTTATTTTAAAGGCAGTTACCCAGGCACTCTGATATGAGATGCTAGTGTCTCAAGCAGTGTCTTCACTATTGTGCCAAGCATCTACCACACGCATTTTATATATATATATATATATATACATATATATGTATATTTAAGATTTTATTTATTTATTTGAGAGGCAAACCACAGACGAGAAAGGGAGAGACAGAGAGAAATGTCTTCCAAATGCTGGTTCACTCCCCAAAAGGCCGCAATGGCTGGATGATATGGGCCTATTCGAAGCCAGGAGCCAGGAACCTCTTCCAGGTCTCCTACATGGGTGCAGGGGTCCAAGTAATTGAGCCATCTTCTACTGCTTTCCCAGGCCATAGCAGAGAACTAGATTGGAAGAGGAGCAGCTAGGACACAAACCAATGCCCATATGGGATGCTGGCGCCACAGGCAAAGGCTTAGTCCATGATGCCACAGTGCAGGCCCCACAGTCTTTTAATTCCATTTTCCCGTGGATATTTTGAAGTGGCTTCAAAGAGGTATATTTATGTTTTATAATGGTAAATACAAACTTAAAAATGGGATTTTAATTCTCCCTGTTGAATACAAGGGACAAGATTTTCCTTCCTTCCTTCTTATAGCATTTATCTTGGAAAGAGTGTTGTTTTCCATTGTGCCACATCTCCTTTGGAAGACATACCTATGCCTCTTTTGTCAGCTGGCCTGGTACCAGCTTTATGACTTAGGACTGTCCATCTCAGGAACCTGGGAGCTATCTTTCTGAAATGTGAACATCAGGGAGGTAGCTCCCCTATCTCCCTGTGTTAGAGTTAAGCATCTAACATCAGTGAACTCCTTGGTCCAACTATCTGTTGTTTCTCCTCAGTATGAAGCCCATTAGCTCACAAAGGAAGTCTCCCCAGTTACCACAGTGAAGTCAGGATGATGTCTGTGTGGAAAAATGTGCTGTCACATGTTCTTGGGGACTGGCAGTCATTTATCTTGATATCACATATGTGGTATATACTGAGCTGTAGAACAAGGTGGTAAGATTCTTTTCTATCTCGCAATCTCTTTGTGCCTGTCACTACACATCATATTCTAATTTAATGCTTATTTCAATAATTAAAGTGCATTCTTTTTCTACTATCTTCATGGAGAGGATTTCTGAGAAAGGAGATTTACTTTTAAATTATAATTCCTCAACAGTAAGCTATCTTTTTAATGTATTCATGCTCATTGTTAAGATGATGAAGAATTAACTATTTTCATGTGAAACAGGAAGTAAAATTATCATAGAGACATTTCACTTGCTTGGTTACAAAAGTTCAATATAACCATATCTTAAGAAAGAAAATGTGGGACAGATGTTATGTACACAGAGTTAAGCCACTGCTCGAAATACCCACAACTTATTGGATGGAATAGGATGCCAATTCCAGTCCCAGCTACCCTACTTCTAATCCAGTTACATGATAAGGCACCTGGGAAAACAGCAGATGATGGCTCAAGGACTTGGGTTCCTGACTCATGTGGGAGACCTTGGTAGATTTCATATTTATGTGAACAGACCTGGATAGATTTCCCGGATTCTGGCTTCAGCCTGGCCCAGCCTTGCTACTGTGGGCATTTAGGACTGAACCAATCAATGGAAGATCTCTTTCTGTCTTTCCCTCTCCCTGTCACTCTGCCTCTCAAATAAATTGAAAAACAAACAAAAACAGCAAAAGAAAATGCTGTATATCTTTGCACAATAGAAGTTTTTACTATGGTTTGCATATTTGTAACCCACATAAGATGAAATAGAATTTTAACCAAAAGGATTCATATGAGCCAACTGCCTGATGATAGGAATCACAGATCCAGAGGGAGGCAAAGTTTTTTATCTTTCAAAGAACATGTATTAGTGGTAAACTCTTTAGCTGTCCCTGCTTCACACTGTATTTGGTAACACTACTTTTTGGGGTAATAGATAAAAATTAACTTGGCTTAGCAACACTCTATGGAGTCTCCAGCCTGCCACTCAACTGAAAAGGAGACTTGAAACAACAAACATTATGCAAAAATAATTTGTTTTAAATGTTCTGTTTTCAGCCACTCAAGAGATCATGGCCATTTTATTTTAATAACTTAAATTAAAATATTTAACTTTTGTATAACCTTAAATCAAGAGGCTGTAACTCTAAACATACTACAAGTTAAGTATTTAATCTGAAAATCTGACATCCAAAATACTCCAAAATCCTATACTATTTTATGCCCAACTGGAAATTTCCACATCTGATTTCATGTGATACATTGCAGTTAAAACACAGATGCATGAGAAATATCACATGAAATTACCCTCAGGGTATATGTATAATAAGTTGCATATGAAAATAAATGAATTTTGTGTTTAGAATTGGGTCCTAGTCCCATGAGCCCTCAGTATGTATTGTGATTACTCCAATACCCGGAAAAATCCTAAATCTGAAATACTTCTAATATCAAATATTTTAGATGAGGGATATTTAACATGCTGAAAATACAGGAGACCAATATTGGAAAACTCTAAGAAACCATTAATAGCAAATCAGTAAAATTTTACATTTCCTAGTCTAATAAAAGTATCAGTCAGATAGAAGCATTTTGTTAAATTTTAAGGGTGTGGGGTCAATATTTTTTAGGGAAGTTAGTGATAATTAAAGCCTAAAAGATCTAAGAGTAGGAAATATGAAAAACAGATTAGGTAAATTTCATGCAAATTAAACATGAAAACAATTTGTTTTAAATAATGAGCAATATTTACCTTGCAGCATTTTGTTCAATCTTTTCATCAATATCACTGAAGATCTGCTTAAATTCCAAGTCTCCAGGAAAAGAGTTTAACAAACAGTGTAGGTCAAAAGAATTATGGGAATATTCATCTCCCCAGTCCATCCTAAGGAATAAGAATAAATAATAAAACTGGTCAGTTTTCCAAAATGGGAGGCAGGGGGCAAACCTAAAGTTGTGAAAAGAAACCCAAAAGTCAGTTCTCACATACAGGCACAATGAAAACTAGCTGTAGAACTGGGGTATTAGTAAGTCAGAGTGTCTTGTTATTTAAATTTCATGAAGTACGATCTAATTTTCACTCTTCCCCATACTGTGAAAGCTGAACAAGACAGCAGCCTTCAGGGTCGGTGCTATGCTATAGCAGGTAAGGCTGCCGCCTGCAGTGTGGGCATCCCATATGGGCACTGGTTCAAGTCCCAGCAGCTCCACTTCCGATCCAGCTCTCTGCTATGGCCTGGTAAAGCAGTGGAAGATGACCCAAGTTCTTGGGCCCCTACACTCATGTGGGAGACCCGGAAGAAGCTTGGCTCCTGGCTTCTGGCTTCAGATCAAGACAGCTCCGGCCACTGTGGCCACCTGGGAAGTGAACCAGCAGATGGAAGACCTCTCTCTCTCTCTGTCTCTGCCTGTCTGTAAATCTGCCTTTCAAATAAATAAAATAAACTTTTTTTTCTTAAAGATTTATGTATTTCTTTCAAAGCCAGAGTTACAAAGAGAGAGAAGGAGAGGCAGAGAGAGAGGTGTTCCATCAAACGGTTCACTCCCCAATTAGCTGCAACGGCCAGAGCTGATCCAATCTGAAGCCAGGAGCCAGGAGCTTCCTCTGGGTCTTCCCATGCGGGTGCAGGGGCCCAGGGACTTGGTCCATCTTCTACTCTGCTTTCCTAGGCCACAGCAGAGAGCTGAATCAGAAGTGGAGGAGCCAGGACTAGGACGGGCACCCATACAGGATGCCAGCACTGCAGGCAGTGGCTTTACCCACTATGCAACAGCGCTGGCCCCTAAATTAATCTTTAAAGGAAAAAAAAAAAAAAAAAGGCAGCAGTCCTCAACAAACAAGTATGCAGCCACCCTCAGAAAACAGCATCATCTCGCTTCTCCCTGACACTCAGTGCTGCAAAGGAAATGATAAAGCTCGTGGACCACTGAGAACAAGGGCAATGCAGCAAGAATTCAGCACTCCCTCCACTCTTGTCCATATTCTGCCCTGAAAATTGTAGCCTTGGACCTTTTAAATACCCCCAACATCTAGTGTTTTGCCTGTTGCATACTTTGAACTAAACGGCTGCCTCAGAACCAAGGTCTCTCTTCCTGTCTCCTACTCCTCTCACCCCTTTACCTTGTGGAGGGCCTTTCTCTTAGTCCCCTAAGGGAGGTTCCTCCATAAGGTATGTAATTGTCATAGCCCCCTCCTCCCTAAAATCTCAGCAAACACAGGAGATTAACTGGAAGGAAAGAAGACTAGAGTTGATACCACACTCAGTGACTCCACAAACTCTGTCCCAGGGTATTGTCTGTTCTTTGTGCCCATTTCTCTCCTCTAAGAACCATTTACTTTTTCTCTAGAAGCACTCACATCCCCCACTCTCCTCTCCCCCATGAAGAGGGCAGAGGATCTTTTGAATCTCCTTGGATTACTGGATACTCACTATTCTTTCTTTTGTTGCCCCTATGCATGTAATAAAAATGTCTGATTTTCTCTTGCTACCCTATTGTCAGTTTATTTCAGCAGATTCAGTTACTGAATCTTCAGAGGGGGGAAGGGACGTTCCCTTCCCTCCTACAGCCCACATATGTTTTCTCACTATCAAAGTGTCAATCACTCACGCATTCATTCTATATAAATGTATTAAATATCTGATTGGAATAGGCACTGTTGTGGGAGTTGGGCTATTGCTGCAATAAGTTGAAGTCCCTATCCTCTGGGAGATTTTATTCTGGAGGGGAAGATAGATTTTCAAAACACATAAACAGACAGGTATGGTCAAAAGTGCTGTAAGGAGAAGGAAAGCAGGCTGTTGGCTAGACTAAGAGTAAGGGAGTAAAGTAGGCTGAGAGCTTTTTATTTAGGAAAATGAGGATATAGCTCTTTAAGGAAGTGATATTTGAGTGGAAGAAAGAAGTGATAGGTAGGAAAGGAAAATTAGCTTCTTGATTACTTTGGCCAAGAAGTGACTCTTATCACATCTGCCCAAATTTCACTGGTGAGAGCCAGTCACATGACCCTACCTGGATACAAAGGTGTTGGGTAATGCTATCACTGGCTAGGCAGCTGACTCCAGAAAACCTCCACACTATGAACGGAAATCATTAATCTTTGATAGAAAGCCATTCTTCTCTTGCCATTCGTTTGATTAAACTCAGTTCTTCTATGTCCTATTGCTGATCTGCCTCGAATGTCTAAATGATCATTGGTTGTCCATTCTCATGTATTACCTTTAGAGTAGTCTGAGACAAATTGGTGGCTGGCAAGGGTAGTTTTCCCAAAAGGTCTCTCCCTCCCTCTAGAGCAGGAAGGTTTACTAAGACAATGTGTGAGACAAGGGCAACCTTCTGTTCAGGACTTATGAACAGAAGCAAGAACACAGCTGATGATTTGCACAAGTTACCAACACAAAATACTTGATACCTAGAGTGGGTTGATTTAGTTTTTCTCACCTTGAAGTAGACCTGGAAGGGCCTGACATGTTTTATCGTTCACAAGCACTTCTTAGCTCCCTCCTTCCTTGATGACTACCCTATAGCCTACTTCACTCTTTTCTCTCTACAGTTGGCATTACTTCAGAGACTGGCTCTTATGATCATGGCAATTTACTCTTGCGTGTTGTTTCATTGTGACCATGTCTCAGTTCCTCTACTTTATATCATCCAGAATCATTCCAAGAAACCTGTATTTCTTTCAGGCTTTTCTATGTGACATTATGGACATTTCAATAGATTTGAGGAGGGAGGAAAAGTAAATGTGTGTGTTTTAGTTCTCTGTCTTCAGAAATTTCTATCTTCCAATTTCCCATAATAAAGCAAAAAATTAGGAGATTCTGAAAACTCAAAATTTAGTGTAGACTTTTTTTTCTTTAAAGATTTTTTTTATTTATTTGAGAGGTAGAATTACAGATAGAGAGAAGGAGAGACAGAAAGAGAGGTCTTCCATCTGCTGGTTCACTCCCTAAATGGCCACAACAGCCAGAGCTGTGCCAATTCAAAGCCAGGATCTTCTTCCACGTCTCCCACGTGAGTGCACAGGCTCAAGCATTTGGGCCATCTTCTATTGCTTTCCCAAGCCATAGCAGAGAGCTGGATCAGAAGAGGAATACCTGGGAGCCCATATGGGATGCTGGTGCCACAGGCGGAGGCTTAGCCTACTACGCCACAGTGCCAGCCCTAGTGTAGACTTTTCATATAGGTATAGGCTAATGTGGTAAAATTCAACTACTTATATATAAACACTTAGCTAAAGAAACGCAACAACAAAACAAACAATTCAGTTAAGAAATGTACAGAGGACATGGACAGGCATTTCCAAAGGATGAAACACAAATGGCCAGCAGATATATGAGAAAATGCCCCAGATTACTAGCCACCAGGGAAATGCAAATAAAAACCAAAATGAGGTTTCACCTCACCTGAGTTGGAATGGCTATAATCCAAAAATCAAAAAGTAATAAATACTTGTGAGGATGTGGGGGAAAAGGTACCCTAATACATTGTTGGTGAGAATGTAAAATTAGTACAACCATTATGGAAGACAGTATTGAGATTCCTCAGAAATCTGAAAATAGTTCTGTCTTATGACACAACATTCTTCACTCTTGGAAATTTACCCAAATGAAATGAAATCAGCATATGAAAGAGTTATTTGTACAAGACATTGCAGATAAACAAATACACACTAGCTAAAACTTATGGAATCAAAAGAATAGTGAAGAGGTCACTGGAAATTTTTAGCTTTAATGTATTAAATATTAAAGGAGGGGCCAGCACTGTGACGCAGTAGGTTAATCCTCTGCCTGCGGCGCCAGCATCCCATATGGACGCTGGTTCTAGTCCCGGCTGCTCCTCTTCCACTCCAGCTCTCTGCTGTGGCCTGGGAGAGCAGTAGAAGATGGCCCAAGTCCTTGGGCCCCTGCACCCATGTGGGAGACCAGGAAGAAGCACCTGGCTCCTGGCTTCGGATCGGTGCAGCTCCAGCCTTTGTGGCCATTTAGGGAGTGAACTAATGGAAGGAAGACCTTCTCTCTGTCTCTCCCTCTCACTGTCTGTAGCTCTACCTTTCAAATAAATAAATAGGGGCCAGCACCATGGCTCACTAGGTTAATCCTCCACCTGCGGCGCCAGCATCCCATATGGGTGCCAGATTCTAGTCCCGGTTGCTCCTCTTCCAGTCCGGCTCTCTGCTGTGGCCTAGGAAGGCAGAGGATGATGGCCCTAGTGCTTGGGCGCCTGCACCTGCATGGGAGACCAGGAGAAAGCACCTGGCTCCTGGCTTTGGATCAGCACAGTGCCGGGCATAGCGGTCATTTCGGGAGTAAACCAATGGAGGGAAGACCTTTCTCTCTCTCACTGTCTAACTCTATCTGTCAAATAAATAACAATAAATAAATAAAAGTATTTTAAAAATATTATAGGAAAACATTAAATGCTGAAAAGGTAATAAAAAATTTATTAATCTGGGCATATCTTTCCTAAATGCCAGTGTTGATTGTAAACACATTTTACACAATTAAAAAATATTGTACATGTTTTATTTTAACTCATTGTGATAACAATGTGGTGATTATAACATTTTGTGGAGTATATCTAATAACTGAAGCTTACAATGAAATTTTAAAGGCATTTGCATTCTTTTGATAAATGATGCTGTTTGTTAACCATTCACAACACTTTTATTATTTCCATAGAAATATTGCTGATTAACCACAATAGGTAGAATTGGACAATTTGTTCACAAATGAAACCAAATTATGAAATTTACTAAGTTGTTTAGTTTATTTGCATTTTAAGAGCAGAAATTTCAAGGATAATTTTGCCACATTCCTGTTTGTTAGCATACAAATGGTTCCCAGTCTTTTTCTCTTTCTAAATGAAAACATTTTGCTCCAAAGC